GAGCCTCCACTGGGCAGGGACGGGGCACCCCGGGCCAGGGGGAGCTTCGGGGGAGGTACCCGCAGGCACGCGGAGCTCTCTGCGCCCCTCCCCGCAGGGGACGCAGGGATGTGGTGCCGGCGGCTTCCTGGCGAGGGGGCAGGGCAGAGAAGCAGGGAGCCTGCCACCCCGGAGCCGCTCCAGGTAAGAAGTGCCGGGCCAGAGCCCACACCCCGAATCCTTCCTGCACCCCGCATCCCAACTGCTTACCCTCCTGCACCCCAACCCCCTGCCCTGAGCCCCCTCGTACACCCTGGAACCCCTCCTCTGACCCAACCCCTTGCCCATAGCCCCTTCCTGCACACCACACCCCCTCCCACATCTACACTCTCTCCTGCACCCCAACCCCCTGCCCCAGCCCTACATTCATGGCCCTGCAAGCAATTTCCCCATCCCAATGTGGCCCTCGGGCCAAAAAATTTGCTCACCCCTGTTCTAGTGCATGGATCCTTATGCCCATGTGGGATCAAACCACCCTTTTACCGTCTCTCTGTTCAGCTAAACAGATTGAGCTCCCGGCATCTTTCATGATCAGGGGTGTTGTCTTAACCCTGCAATTGTTCTTGTGCCTCTCCACTGAACCCTCTCCTTCTCTGAAGGCCAGGACATGGAATTGAAGCTGCTTTGGTGGCACTCATGGATGATCTCCCGCTATCAAGGGGTGAGAACAGACATCCATGCTCATCCTGCTGGACCTTTCTGCACCACTCGACCCTTTCACATGTGCTATTCTGACAGCTGAAGGCCAGACCGGACCATCACCAAATCACCTGGACTGGCCTCCTTATAGCACAAGCCATTACATTTCACTCAGACCTGTTCTGAGCCTGATAATCTGGGTTTGGCTGAAGTGTCTTCTAGAAAGACTTCCCATCTGTATCCGAAGGCCCTGCACTGTAAAAAAGATGTGGAGAGATTGGAGAAAGTTCAGAGGAGAGCAACCAAAATGTTTGGAAAACATGAGCTATAGACAAAGATTGAAAGAACTAGGTGTGTTCAGTGTAGAGAGAATAAGACTGGGATGGGATAGAACTGCCTTCAAATACGTCAAGGGCTGCTCTAAAGAGGGTGGGGATGAGTTGTGCTGCATGTCTTCTGATGGGAGGAGAAGAAGAAATTAGCTTAGTTTGCAGCGAGGGAGATGTAGGTAGGAAATTAGGAAATTGTGCCCTCTGCAGGTCAGTCTCTAGAGGTTTCCCCTCCAGCTCTTAGTGATTTTCAGCTCTCAGAGATTGTTAGCTCCTAGTGGAGGAACTTCATTGTGGAAGCAGGCTGGGCAGAAACTCTGTCCTGCAATAATTGATTTGAGCTCTAGTGAGCACTTAGCAAAACAAAAGACTCCTAATGGAGCCCTACTTAACTCCCACCATCAACCTCAGCC